ATTTTTTTTTCCTCTAAAAATATTTATTTACTTTTCATATATCTTTGTTGGAAATTTACAGGAAATAAATGAAATTGCTTCCTAATTTTCAATACATTCCTACAGTAAATTTATGGTTCTTCAAATTTCGAAGAAAACATTGGCTGGCAATTCATTAGTGGATCCTGATGAATTTTGAAGACAGCTGTGCAGGAAGAATTTACAGTGAGAAAATTGTTTTTGTTATAGCTGAAAACTTCCAGGATGCAGTAGATGGCCAGGATTTCTATGTGTTAATGCCCATACTCTGATGCATCCATAATACTTGCTGACACCACCTCCATGGCTGTAAGGTTTGGAGGAGATTTCATCAACCCTCTTTGCTGGGAATAAGATTTACATGCAATGGAGCTGACAGGTCTGAAATTGGATTAAGCTGGGCTTAAAAATTTAGGTGCTAGGCATTATAGTTTTTAATTTTAAATTCAGACTTGATGTTCTTCTGACTGGTTGCCAAACAAGGTTAAATAGTCCAGCCTACCCTGGTATTTAATCATTAACTGGGAGGATGTACAAGATTCATACTTTTCCCCAAAGGGTATTTTTATGAAACTCGATGTAATGAACATTATTTACATTATTCAAACTATTGTCCTCATCTTTGTCGCCATATTTATCACAATGTTTCGGCCATTGTTGTACGCTCCAGCTTTCTTCAGGTGGTTGGAATGTTGAACTGAACCCTTTATTTCGCTCACTGTTCTAGTTCCACGTGCTGGAGCGTACAACGGCCGAAATGTTGTGATAAATACGGCGACAAAGATGAGAACAATAGTCCGAATAATGTAAATAATGTACATAATACCTCATCTCAGAAATATAGACAGACTCTGATGGATGTAATGAACTTGACCAAAATTCAAACCTGGCTCACAGATTTCTCCTTTCAAACTGTTAACCACTACACTACGAGTGTGCTAAGATGTTTGCACCTCAACTCAATTCCCCAAAACTGTAGACATCTAAATACTAAATGTTGGGAAGTGAATCAGTTTGAGAACCTCTTGGTATCACATCATAGATGGATTTGTAGTTAAATAGAAAGGAAAAAATATCTACAGACCAATATGGTAATCATTTTGATATTCTTATCAGTCTTGCCTGTGGATATCACTGAATATGACTTGAAAGGTAAAGAATCAATTTTTTAAAAAAACTGATCTCCAGGAACCTTTTAAAACACTTAAATAAGAAACAAAGTTAAACTTCTTATGTCACCACAGTAATGTCTGTTACTCAACATTGTGAACCTGCAAGGAAATTTAGACTTCCTATGGCAAGCAACAAGATTAAATATTAAATACAAACATACAGACTGAATTAATTCTATTTTTAGTTTCTCTCTAATAAAGGACAATTGCTTCTCACACTCAAAATAAATTTTTAAGGATAGTTTATCATCTTTTATACAAACACTTATGTGATACCTGTTCTCCTGTATGGCAGTGAATGCTGGACAATTTCCTCAAAGATGAAGAGAAGAGACTTGAAGCAACAGAAACAAAGAAAAGAGTACTGAAATGTTATGTAATATCAGTTCTCCTGTATGCCAGCAAATGCTGGACAATTTCCTCAAAGATGAAGAGAAGAATGTGTTCGTCTCTTGGTTTTCCATGTCCTCATGTTGAGAACACCTCTCTCTCGACTAAGAAAAACACTGATGTTATATAGCTTTCCCAGTCCCAGACCCATGCTGACTATTGGCTAATATCTGCTCAGTATTGTTCATATACAGATAAGCAGCACCACCTACTCTAAGTAGAAGGTCTTCTCTCAACAGCCCATTGTGGAAGAGGATACCACTCCTGATGCTTACAGTACAACATACAACCAACTCGGAGTCTTATCAGGCTAACCTGATTCTCTGTTAGAAAGAGACTTGAAGGAACAGAAACAAAGAGTACTGAAATATTATGTAATCAGTCCTCGTGTATGGAAGTGAATGCTGGACAATTTCCTCAAAGATGAAGAGACTTGAATCAACAGAAATGTGGTTCTATAAAAGGATGCCAAGGACACTATGGGCCAAACATGTGAGCAACGATGAGGTTTTGGAGAAAATTGAAACAAAAAGGAAACTTGTGCTTATCAGGAAGAGGTAGTTGAAATTTATGGGACACATAATGAGGAAAGAGGGCTTGGAAAATCTGATACTCACAGGACAGATTGAAGAACAGAGGAAAACAGCATGTAACATACTTGATAAGCTTGAGTAAATAGATGGCAGAACAGGGTTCAGGAGAAATAACAAAAAGACTAGACTTATTAAGAGCTACAAGGGACAGGAAGATGTGGAGGGCTATGATTGCCTAGGTACTGAAAGGAGATAGCACATAAAAGATACAAACATGCCAAATATTTTATGACCTCTTTCTAGTCATAATTATTCTTGTTTCGCACAACATTTGACATATTTATTCATGTTCAATCAATATCTCAGTTCAGTAAATTGATTTCTTTTATAAGTTTGTCCTCCAAATTTATCACTAAAAATGAAATGCATCAATGCTTTATACTTTTAATTTGGAATTTAGAGATAAAAATGGAAGTAACTATATTTCTAGGAATTATAAATCCAAGTGCCGATGTGTGGTGTGGTTTAGTGGATAATGGCTTGGAATGGTAATTGGAGAGGAGAGTTTCAATTCCAGTTGAGTTCGTCACATTCGCATACACAAATACCCTTGTGAAAGGGTGTGAATCTATCTCTTCTCCCCACAGCTTTGGGCTGAATAGCAGGATAGTCTGGGTCCTATAGCCTTGTTTGGCAGCCGGTCTACCACAGAAAGAAATGGCAAGCTATTGCAGGAAAGTCTTCTGCCTCGTCAGTCATAAATTATAAGAGACTGAATCATTCCAGCATGTATCAAATCCTTGATTGGCAGCCATTCCACTGCAGCAAAAATGGCATCCTACTAAAGGTAAACTTTTTACCTAGCTAGTTGTTATACTGGAACATACCTATTCTATTATTAATAGACTCTCCCACCTATAATAAGTAGGAGTAGTAGTAGCAGTTGCCAGTGGGCTCAGTGAGTTGGTGAGTCAGTCGATGTCAGATATTAAAGTATCAGCCACCACAACTAAATTGCTGCATCATTAATTATGATATTGAGTTCCTAACATTTTGTACGTCGAACCTTTTTAGGACCGACTTAGTGAAATACAAGCCTCCACTGTGAAACTACACTATAACACTAGTCATGAATCAAAAGAGACATGTTTGCTCAAGCGTCTATCACATATGGAACTTAAACCATAATGGCATCCTACTAAAGGAAAATCTTCTGTCTTCATTGCCATTTCTTTCTGCGATAGACCAATTGCCATCAAAGGCTACAAAACCCGGTCTGTCCTGCTATTTACCCATAGCTGGGGAGAAAAGAAGAGGATTCATACCTTTCCCAAGGGTATTAGCACATAGAATTTGAACTTGGCTCCCTGATTCCTCAATTAGAGTAGAGAACCTTTTTTGCCTTCCATCAGCATGTCTGATGCTAACCTCCAGGAAAGAAACTCATTGCGCCTTCTTGGGCTCATGTTTTCCATGTGGTTATATTGAATAAATTGCTAGGTCTGCTGCTAGGAAAGTTGGTTCACTGTGTGATGCCAGACAATTTTTATTGTCAGAATCTATCTTACACATTTATAAATCTATCATTCGTCTGGGCATGGAATATTGCTGCCATATCTGGTCTGGTGCTCCTACTATATATCTTGAAATTCTTGACAAAATCCAAAGAAGGTTGTTTTCCCTTGTCTCTTTTTCCCTCTATTCAACTCGGGAGTGAGTATCAGATTCTCGAGGCCCTCCATCCTTATTATGTGTTCCAAAAACTTTGGCTGCCTCTTTCTGATGTTAAGTATAAGCCTTCTCCTTTTTTGCAACCTCTCTAAGACCTCATCGTCGCTCACACGCTTTAAACATCTATCACCATCTTCTTATTCATTGTTCTTTCTCCTAAATAAAGTCTTCTTTTTCAATTCTAGTAACCCCCCCTTGAGTCTTAGTGGCATTATCGCCTTATATATTATGCCTTTAAATTCCTTGAGGAACATAGGACTGCAAATTTTGTGCTTTCTATAACAAGCCAGTTTTTAAGTGAGTAGATTTAACCTAATGTACAATCCCCAACCTGGACAATCAGGTTTTGAATTCAGAGTAATTGTTTTACTAGGCCAGTTGCCATCCAAGGCTATAGAACCCAGTTTGTCCTGCTATTTATGCATAGTTTGGGGAAGAAGAAGAGGATTCATACCTTTCCCAAGGGTATTAGCACGTAAGTGAATGTAATGGATTTGACTGGAATTCGAACTTGGCTCTCCGATTCCTCAATCCAAGCTGCTATCCATTACCTCACTGTGCCTCCTATTATTGCCTTACTTAGGATAAAAAATAATAATAAAAGCAGTCATCTGTGTAGTGAGGGTATTAGCAGTCAGAGATTCCATTAAATAAATAAGAAAAAATAAAACTTCAGGTTTCAACAACATAAAACGACTAAAAATAATGCCCAGTACAGGGATGATAATTCCAATGAATTGATTGACGTAATAGCAAAGAGAGAATGTTAGGGAGAATAGACAGAGAGGCGTATATTGAATGGGGCTTGATAACTTGAAACCAATCCATTGGCCAACATAGCAACCAATGGGATTCATCAAAGGTGATTCAAATTGGCTTCAATGCCGGCCACTTTCAAATAAAAGTTTGTCCACTGTAGATTCAATGGTAGTTTGTTTGCAGAAAGCATTTAATACATGGCACATTGCTTAAAGCATTTAATAAATCTAAAAAAAGTTTTTTTTGTTAGTGATCTATTTCTTTTTTTTTTTTTCATTTTCTGAGAGGGAGAGATTAAAGCAAGTAGATATATAATCGATAATTGAGGAAAGCTGAAGCATGGACAGAGAGAGACGGTGAAAAGGTAAATACAGAAATAGGCTGAGAGAGAGAAGACAGAGAGAGAGAGAGAAGAGAGAGTGAGAGAGAGAAGACAGAGAGAGAGAGAGAAGTGAGAGAGAGAGAGAAGTGAGAGAGAATGAAACCTAGAAAGAGAGAGAATGAAACCTAGAAAGAGAGAGAATGAAACCTAGAAAGAGAGAGAGAATGAAACCTAGAAAGAGAGAGAGAATGAAACCTAGAAAGAGAGAGAGAGAATGAAACCTAGAAAGAGAGAGAGAGAGAGAGAGAATGAAACCTAGAATGAAAGAGAGAGAGAGAGAATGAAACCTAGAGAGAGAGAGAGAGAGAATGAAACCTAGAAAGAGAGAGAGAGAGAGATGAGAGAAAGGAGAGAGAGAGAGAGAGAGAGAGAGAGAGAGAGAGAATGAAACCTAGAAAGAGAGAGAGAGAGAGAGAGAATGAAACCTAGAAAGAGAGAGAGAGAGAGAGAATGAAACCTAGAAAGAGAGAGAGAGAGAGAGAATGAAACTAGAAAGAGAGAGAGAGAGAGAGAGAATGAAACCTAGAAAGAGAGAGAGAGAGAATGAAACCTAGAAAAGAGAGAGAGAGAGAGAATGAAACCTAGAAAGAGAGAGAGAGAGAGAGAATGAAACCTAGAAAGAGAGAGAGAGAGAGAATGAAACCTAGAAAGAGAGAGAGAGAGAGAATGAAACCTAGAAAGAGAGAGAGAGAGAGAATGAAACCTAGAAAGAGAGAGAGAGAGAGAGAATGAAACCTAGAAAGAGAGAGAGAGAAAGAGAGAAGAGAAGAGAGAAGAAAGAGAGAGGAAGAGGAGAATGAAACAAAGAAAGGAAGAGGTCAAGAGACAAAGAAAAAGGGAGAGGTCAAGAGACAAAGAAAGGGAGAGGTCAAGAGACAAAGAAAGGGAGAGGTCGAAGAGACAAAGAAAGGGAGAGGTCGAAGAGACAAAGAAAGGGAGAGGTCGAAGAGACAAAGAAAGGGAGAGGTCGAAGAGACAAAGAAAGGGAGAGGTCGAAGAGACAAAGAAAGGGAGAGGTCGAAGAGACAAAGAAAGGGAGAGGTCGAAGAGACAAAGAAAGGGAGAGGTCGAAGAGACAAAGAAAGGGAGAGGTCGAAGAGACAAAGAAAGGGGAGAGGTCGAAGAGACAAAGAAAGGAGAGGTCGAAGAGACAAAGAAAGGGAGAGGTCAAGAGACAAAGAAAGGAGAGGTCAAGAGACAAAGAAAGGGAGAGGTCGAAGAGACAAAGAAAGGGAGAGGTCGAAGAGACAAAGAAAGGGAGAGGTCGAAGAGACAAAGAAAGGGAGAGGTCGAAGAGACAAAGAAAGGGAGAGGTCGAAGAGACAAAGAAAGGGAGAGGTCGAAGAGACATACAAAGAAAAACAGAGAGAGATCAAAGAGATAGAAAATCACCAAGAGGGCAAAGAGTGAGAAGACAACAAGAGAGAGAAAGTGGAATACAGAACAGGCGCTGAACGAGAGGAAAAGTGAGATAAGAAACAAGCAGAAAGACCAAGAGAGAGGGGTAGGGAACAGACATATCCACATGTGCATGTGTCTGTTTACATGTCTATTGCACACAAACTCTTTACGTAAGTATCCTTACCGATGTTAATACGTGCAGATGTGCATCCAGTTTGTCTTGCTGTATGTTTTTATGCCAACGTGTGCTTATGCATTAGTCGAGCACGATTAACAATCACAAGTGATTTGTCAAACAGAATCTTTTAAAACCAATCAAAAACTCAACCTTTCAAACAGGCAAAGCTGAAAATTTTCTAACAGGCAGAGAGAGAGACAAATTTAAAAAGAAAAAAAAAGTAGGTGAGAATTTCAAAAAAGGAATAAACAAAAGAATAAAGCAGAAAATTGAAATCTTTACAATAAGTTTGACTAAAATTATTTCAATTTAGAAATGAAGATATTTGTACATTATTTACATTATTCGGACTATTGTCCTCATCTTTGTCGCCATATTTATCACAAAGTTTCGGCCGTTGTATGCTCCGGCCTTCTTCAGGTGGTTGGAATGTCGAACTCCATTCTAGTTCCACGTACCATGTTTGATGGATGTCAGTTATCAGTTATCTCCTGTTAATTTCCCTCTGAAAGTTCTCCACTGCCATAACCGGGTATTGAACTCACACTCTTTGGGTTCTGTCACTGGATCTAACCAATGCCTTTATCCACTGTGCCATGTGTCCTCAAGGACACATGGCACAGAAGAAGGCCGGAGCATACAACGGCCGAAACGTTGTGATAAATATGGCGACAAAGACGAGGACAATAGCCCGAATAATGTAAATAATGTACATAATACTTCATCTCAGAAATATAGACTGATACTGAAGATATTTGTGCATTTTATCAGAACTTTTTATGTTATGACATCCCCCCCCCCACCATCAAACTCTCACAATAGTGCAAAGTGGGAAATAAAGAAACAGCTGCCAACAAGACTGATCTTGCATCCTCTATGATGGGAGGTTTATGGCCATATCACATTGAAACATCAGTTCTCCTACAATCACCGGTTAAGCAATGTCAAGTCCGGTCAGTACCTAGATGTGTAACCACTTGAGAATGCCAGGTGCTGTAACGAATATTGGATCGTAATTGGAAATCAGAAAATAGAGTTCCAATTCCAGTTGGTTCGTTATATTCACTTATACACAAATATCCTTGGGGAAAGGTATGAATGCACATCTTCTCCCCCAAAACTATTGGGTTAATTAGTAAGACTTGTATCACTAAACCATCTAAAAAAATAAAAACAAAAATAAAAAAAAAATATCCAATATTTTCTGGCTTTAAATAACCTGCAAAGAGTTGATAAACAACAAAAAAAAATCAATCATTGTATGATGAGAGTTCAGCCCCATTATAATATTATTAGGTCTTAGCAAACAAATCTTGATCTTTTCTTTAACATAATTTTCTAGATAGTAATAATGGTCGGTTACACATTTCTGAGCACACCCATGTGCTAGGGCAGCCAACCAATTCCTGTTGAAGACGCCTGCTCAGTCACATTAAAAAAAGCGGTGAGTATTAAAACACATAAGCAGCATGAAGTTGGAATTAAAATATAACTTTAACAAGAATTGGCACTTTAGCCATGGATATTTCTCAAATGCAATTAATTTTGGGTTAGTCTCATCCTTGCATAACAACTCTCTGGGAGTGAATACACTTCAACCATTCAAATAAGTAATATAAAAAGAGGATAAATGTTATAAACGTGTGTATGGTAGCACAGAAGAACAAACAAAACAACAGTACCGCGAATGAGGCAAATGATATTGCCAGTACAGTAAATACGTAAGTAATATCTCTCTGTGGGTGATTGACCAAGGTTGACCAAGGTCACAGTAGTGATGTTGAGAGAGACCTGGAGTGGATTAGTGAAGCTATGAATCTGACTCAGTCATTTATGAGTGGCTTTCTCAAAGCAAATGTGGTAGCTTCCAGACTTGACTTTTGTCTTTGACAGCAACGTTCATGTTTAGTTTCTTTTATGTTGCGTTTTATTTTATTTTAATTTTTTTTGAGGGGATTTGTTTCATGAGAAGAATGTGATGCATGGAGACCCTGTGCAGGGGACTTTTCTATTTTTGGTTTTGCTTTGTTAGAATTCACATCTGGCCGACATGTAAAGTGAATCAAAAAGATCTAATTTGAAGCAGAGTATAACATAAACAAGAAACTTTGGACTAGACTTTAACTTCAATTCTTTATTCTTCACATCCATCTTCATTGTAACATTATGAATTTTTGATAAAATATTTTTAAAGTCTTATTGTTGTTTCATTTCACAATTTTCTCCGACCATTAAATTCACGTGAAATAGGATTACCAGATGATTTCTGATGAGATTTGAACTTGTATCCTCTATCGCGGTTGATCATCTCCATTATAATATTATCAATTTTTAAAAGTCAAATCTTTTCTTTCTCTTATTCAGAACTTTCACCAGAACTTTCTACATTACAACATTATTCCTACTTCACATTATTGTGATGGAGGTAAAGAAATACATGGTTGAATTTGAATCCCATATCCTCAGAGATCTTTGTAAGTATTAGCAATTTTTAACAAACAAGTCTTTTCTTCATCTTATTTTTGCATTTTATCAGAACTTTCTATGTTACGACATTCCCTCCACCCATCACAATAATGTGAAGTAGGAATAAAGAAAGACCTTCCAACATGGTTGAGTTAATAAGGTTTCTAAAAGTAATTATAAGGATTCAGTTCAGTTATGTGCCATGCATGATACATGCTTAGGCGATCATGTATCTTTCGATACATGACTGATGAGGCAGATTTTTTTCTTGCAGAAGGTTGCTATTTCTTTCTGCGGTAGACCAGTTGCCATCCAAGGCTATAGAACCCAGTCTGTCCTGCTATTTACCCATAGCTGGAAGAAGAAAAGGATTCATACCTTTCCCAAGAGTATTAACATGTAAGTGAATGGAATGGATTCAACTGGAATTCAAACTCAGCTCTCCGATTCCTCAACCCAAGCTGCTACCCATTACTCCACCGTGCTTCCTTTAAAAATTGTTTATGTATTGGTATATAAAAAGGACTGGTTTGAACGCTTCAAGTTGATAGATTAAATAATCTATTTAAAATGAATTGTATCTACTATCTGCTGGAAAAAAAGGTAAATGTATATGTGTATATATGTATATGTAAGATAATTATTCACCTAATTGGCGTAAAATTACTTATCAGGGTTGACATATAGTTAAGTAAAATCTACCCAATTGATCTTTGAGTCGGGTATAAAATGCTTCTGATCAAATTTTTACTGCTATGATTTAATGGCAAATAGTTTAGTTCTAGTCTAGCATCAGCATCCTCTCTCCTTATTCCCTTCCCCACCCCCCTGGTGGTGGTTGTGGAGATGGTTGTGAAGGCCTAGCCTACGCTGAAGAGTAGTGTGCAGGATTCAGAGGTGTGTTGGTGGTGAATGTGGCTGGGAAAGTTGGGTCCTCCTGACAGTGCATCACAGATCTTCTTGACAGTTGTCTCAAAAGTCTTAGTTTTTCCCTAGGTTGGTCCTACACCAGGAAGACAGAGTCCTGGGTATGATAATAAACTACATCCGGCAGCAAGGCCTTTGATTGGGTGATTGGAGTTTTTTAAGGAGCATGGAACCACTTAAGCTAAGCAAAATCCAATTGAATGTAAACACTCTCAACTTAAATGTAGTAAATACTACAGTGTAACAACTAGAAAAAAAAAATGTTCAAAGATGTCGCCCCTTAGCCAGATAATAGGATTTCTAAAAGAAATAGGAATGTTTAAATTCTTTTAAAGATTGTTTATGAATGGGTATATAAAAAGGACTGGTTTGAACACTTCAAGTTGACAGATTAAATCTATTTAAAATGAATTGTATCTACAAAACTGAGCACTCCCAACTATTGGAAAAAAAAAAAAAAAAAATATATATATAAGGTAATATAAGGTGGCCTGACGATTGTGTCCAGCATGAAACAGCCCGTCACCTCTGAGTGTTGACTTCAATGTTCACTTTTTCATTTACACACGCTCTATCTCTGATATTGAGCACCTTATCCCATAAATATAACACACTTTATATTTCTTCATATATATATATATATATATATATATATATATATATATATATAGACACATGGCTGATTGATGTTATCTTCAACATATCAAATCTAGTTTAATAGACAGACCCTCCACTCGTCAGAGGATATCAGCATATGAAAAAAAAAATAGTGGATTTTTATATATATATATATATATATATATATATATATATATATTTATTTCACCTGGTTGGCATAAAGTGATCCATCAGGGTTGACACAGCATTAAACAAAATCTAACCAGCCAACAGGGCAGGGTTGAACTTGAATCCTATATCCTGCAAATTCTTTTTTAAATCATTTCACCCCACCAAGGCAATAAAGCCACTAGGATGCAAGGGGTTACTGAGTGTTAGAGAATATGAGAAAAACTACTATTAATGAGAAAGGACAATAAAAGAACTAGAATTAAGAAGGCAGAAGATAATGATTGACATTGCATTTAAATTTTTGAAGATCAAAGGTTACTGGGAAACAAGATGCCCAAAGAGAGTTCCAAAAGCGAGAAGTGTGAGAGAAGAAACAATGTAGAACTTACATTTATATCTAGCCATTTCAACTGCAAAATGATGAGACCTTGATAACAATCAAGTACTGCACTTAAATTCATAAAATCTAAGTACCATAGAGAAAAGTTCATCAGAACAATTACCATGAAAGTATTTAGAAAAGGCACAGAGAAACTATCTTATGGTGATGGTAAACAGACTGAAGCCAAGATGCCAGGTCAAGACCAATA